GTGAGACCTTTTTTAAATAGATAGATACAACGTAGGTAGTTGACAGGAATGCAAGATAGTGCGCTAAAAAAAAATCCTTGACTGTTTTATTAGAAACTTTAGACGTTTGATTAGAAACCTGAATTAAAAGCTCGTATTGATAACTCCTTTGAGCTGGTAAGAGCAAAATTACTGTAGAATTTGACGCCATTAGTTTACCACGTAACAGCACGGCCTTGTGAATGAAAATAATATTAATAATGACATTCTGCATTTAGACTATAGTTATTTCTTTCTCCAAAACATTACTACGTGGATGTCTATTATCTAAATAAATTTTCTAAGCTAAATTTTGTATAGACTAATCCAAACTATTGGGTATTATATGAAAAATAATTCCAAATTATTTTATTTTTATTACTGATCCGAAAGCTAAATGAAGCGAATGAATATATATACACATTTTTTGAAATTATTAATATGTGCCTAAATTAAGCAATAGATAGACATAACGTTAGTATGGTAGTTGTAAGGCGGTGAAGTGCGGACATTAATATGAAATATACAGTAGATAGGAAATGTATGTTTATATATAGAGAAATTCACATATCGACTCACCCTCGTCTGCCATTTTATTCTCACGCAAGGGCTCGTTGGAACGCTGCCCCTCCACCCCAGTCCACTCCACTCTGTTCCACTTTCTCATTCCTCCTGCTCCTCTTTCCCCCCCCTCCCCCCCACTCCTCCCTTTCCTCCCCACCGGCAGAAGAATCGAGGTTGCCTTCGTATTCTCTTCCCTTCTCCTCTTTTCCTCCTCTTCCTCTCTTTCTTTCGGCTTTTTTTCTCTCTTCACCTTTTTCTCTCACTTCCTCCATCTCTCCCATCTCTACCCTTCTTCCTTCTGTCTCTTCTGTCCTCCCTTCTCCTCTTCCTCCTCCTCCTCCTTCTCCTTCTCTCCCTGCCACTTTTATACTCCTTCTCCTCCTCTTCTTTTTCATCCTTCTCTTCCTTCCTCATCTATTCTCCTTTCTCCTCCTCCTCCTCCTATTCTCCCGACCACTTTTAACCTCTTTCTCCTCCTCCTCTTTTTCCTCCTTCTCTTCCTTCCACATCTATTCTCCTTTCTCCTCCTCCTCCTCCTATTCTCCCGACCACTTTTAACCTCTTTCTCCTCTTTCTCTTCCTTCCACATCTATTCTCCTTTCTCCTCCTCCTCCTCCTTCTCCTTCTCTCCCTGCCACTTTTATACTCCTTCTCCTCCTCCTCTTTTTCCTCCTTCTCTTCCTTCCATATCTATTCTCCTCCTCCTCCGCCTCTTCCTCCTCGCCCTCTTCCCTTCCTCCATTCTCACCACAGCCTGCGGCACCGTCTGGCCTCCCCCGAGGGGCGCGGCGGAGGAGTAAGCGCAGACTGTCTGTTCCGCCACCAGGTTTGGAACTGCCCTCGTGAGGGATCGGAGAGTTCCTGCACCCGACGACGCAAGGTGCCAGTCGTTTTCGAAGCAGGCAGTCGCAAGCAGCACACTCGCCCTCTCTCACGAGATCCCGTCAGGACTGGTTGATCTGTGTGTCTCTCTCTCTCTCCTTTTTTTTAATAGAAAAAGAAGAATAAAAGGATGTGTATATATTTTTTCTCATCATTACAAATCTAACCGCTACTATCACCACACTACTACCATCAAGTACTCCTACTGTTACTACTATATATTTCTTATTTTTTTACTACCATCACTTCCATTAAATGCTCCTTATAAGTGGCCCAACTGCTGACCAGGCATCCCAACTTTTTTTTTTTGTCTAGACTACGTCCCTCTCTTGACCTCTGATCTCTCAGCTGGCACGGAAGTCCGCAAGCTTGGCAGAGGAGGACCTGGCTGCTCGCGCCGGCCCGTCGGTCGGCTGAGAGAGGCTGGTCGGGGAATGAAAAAAAAACAAAAAACAGCTTGTCTTGGAAACGCCTTCACCTCTCTCTCTGATTCCTTGTTTATGTGTGTGTCTTTTTTCATTTCGCGACATGGCTAGTACACCATCTGTCGGCACTTTTTGTAGTCTCGTCTGCCTTCCTTTCCTTTGACCCTTTTTTGTGTATATTTCTCGGATATATTTCTCAATTCCGATCCTCTTGGTCTCTTTTTCACATTTTTGAACTTAACATTAAAAAAAAGTAATTCCCGTGTTCTAATTAACTACAAGTTTATATTTAAATATTTAAAAAAAAAACACGTATTTAACCTAACAGCTCACACTCCCAAACTTTCCTGATAACCTTGTTATGTAACCAACTTAAAAAACTCTTACGATAAATGACTCTCTATCGCCATCAGCCAATTCCTCCGACCTGCCGGCGTGACTGAGCTTTTCCCCGGCAGGAGAACGACAGCCTGAGGCCCTACCTGGCGGAGGCGATAGCGGCGTGCTGCGTCTCCAGGGAAACCGGGCTCCTCTTCGGCCAGGCGGGCGCCGTGGCTCCGCTCGTGCAGTGAGTCACTCGGGAGACTCGTGTCCTCCTCCCTGGCGGTTTA